TTTCCAGTTACCTTACCGCGGGTAGCTTTCAGTATGGGGCTCTTGCCGTCTTATGCGATGGAAATGGGTAAATAGCATTCTAAGCTAAAAAAGGCGATAGGAGCCTTGTAAACGTTTGAGTGGAGGCTGAATACAAAGCATTGCTTAAGCCTTACACTTCGACGCGTTGCTTAGGGACCATGCCATCTGGTTATTCGCGTACATCCTCCTACCTACTACTGAGTGCATGCTCTCTGAGTTGCCTAAATGAACATGGCGCTACGACATATGTGGAAAGTAAGCCTCGATCGCTTTCTCGCGGTAGAATAAAGTCAAAGGGGGAAATTGAGTACAGGACAGGGTAATGTTTTAGAATGAGAGGGAAGTTGATTGCTGGCCTTAAGGGTTTGTTGAGTTGCGTTTGCTGAATGTTGTGCTGAAGCTCATAGACAGTGAAACAAGGGTTCCTGAACATTTCTGAAGAGGGTCGCAAGGGCATAATTTAATTCGCATTCTTTTATAACACACAGTAGACGATGTACATATGCCTATTGGACCGCATTCAGTTTAAATTTTTCGAGAAGCTCTGAGAGAGAAGAACTGGAAGATTCCACATTTCTATGACGATTTGTTCCCTATTCTGAAGATAAACTTTTGGAGGCAATTTAATGGGAATCCCACTTTCATTTTGGAAAGATTGCACTGCTTTCATGGTAATCTCATTCGATGTTGTTCGAAGTGCGATTGCCTGGGCTCTTCTGGCTACTTCCCAGCTTTTGGGAAGTTTTACTTTCACGTGACTGATTGGTATGTAGACAAGATACTGCAATGGATTTCTTGTCGTTGTAGCCAGTAAAAACCTAAGCAGTGCAGTAGTTTATGTGTTTATCGTCCTACTGCGTGACTTGGGCTAACTAAATGTACTTGTGATGGAATAAATAATGGCTCTGTCCGGCATCCAGTGGGAGATAAAGCCGTTCGCAGACTTTATAGGAAGATTCTTCAGAGATGGAAAATTTTAGGAACTTGGGAAAGGAGGCGATGAAGAATAGGAAATCCTCCTCAGGGCAAATTAACTTAATCGATTTCTATTGATGGCAAATCTGCAAACAAGTATCAAAGTTAGTGGAAGGAAAGTATCGCGTTTAGTAGCAACCAGCTACAAATGCAGGCAACTTAACATGTATTTTTGGCATGTGGTCGTTCTCAATTTTTGATTAAATTGCTGTATTTTATTATTAAAATGACTAGAAAGAAATTATAAGAGTTTTTCAGCTGAGTTTCAGTTTAGATTTTTGGTATGGAAATTTTCGCTCCAAATGTAGCTATTATAGGGGAACGATTCCGAAAAAGTTTACACAGTTGATTAAAAGTTTAGTAGTGATCGAGTCTTCCGCTCCTTCACCTGAATCTTTTGTCAGAGAGTCTGATGGTTGACTTATAAACACCCGACTTGAGATTAAAACTCCGCGATTCCACAGCTTTGCTCTTCACCTACTTAACGTTTCTGACGCCTTTTTGTTCCCTAATTTTCATTTGTTCTTCGATTGTGATGACCTTACTTCTAACGATTTGTCGCTCAATTAAGGTGTTCCTCGCATTATCGTAACGATTAATTTTTGACGTTTTTTTCACATGCTGTTTCCGGGCTTTTATGAACTTTGCATGAGAAAGTATCCGCTTCTAAGTAGTTACTCATCTAAAGTTCGCAACTCTCGGTTTTACTTTACGTCGAAATTTTCGCTCATTCTATTGCTCTCCACTTCCTTTGCAGCTCCTTTCAACTCTAGTAATACTGTTTAGAGCTATGGCAGAGCAAGATGACGAGTATCGTTCTTCTGATGATGAGGACTATGTGCCTGAAGAAGGTGTTGAAGACGTTGAGTGTTCATCCGGAGATGAGGTATTGTTGTTTGTTTTTTTTTCTTCGAAAAATGTTGTGTCAGTTGTATGGCGATAGGTAAACAGCAAGAGTGATATGTTATTGCATGGTTGAACTTAGTACTAATCATGAGTTCAAGAAAAAAATGAAAGTGAATCAATGCTCTGAGCAATTATAGAGGTACAGTGAAGGTTCCAGTGGTTCTCCCTTATATACTTATTTGTAATCCAGGTTCAACGATTTGTGTGTCCTTCCTCGTAAAACCGCTTGATTTTTATTTAGTGCATAATTTGGAAACTGGAAAAGATACTAAGTGCGTTGAGGAAGTGGAGTTTAGTTTGATTAGAAATGAAGGCATCGCGTGGGCTCATAAGACCCTCATATAGCTGCAATCATAGCGAAGAGGGAAACTATACCGAACAAGACACGCGTTCTGGGTGGAATGCACGTTGTCAGGCCACCTCACTTTCGAGCAGCTTGAACTTTGAAGGGTTAACACGTTGACGACAACGCGCGTTTGGGCATTTTTGGCAGCGTGGGGCCGACGCAATATTTGCGGCCCCGTCGACCGCGAGATTTCGAAGCTTTGAAAACTACCTCTAACTACATATCGCTACTTAGTAAGTTAACTAATAAAATGGAAAGCAGACAAAAATGTTCTGTATAATAAATATTCCGCTTTAAGAAAAGCTTATACACACATGAAAATGGCTGGGAGGGAAGAAAACTCGGAAGATGCTTGACAACTCGGCCATCTTCTGGCATAGAACTAGAACTCCTCAATGCTGTTAAAACTCAAATTCAATAGCTTGCTTCCAATGTTCTCATTTCACTTGCTTATTGATCTCAATACAAGTGTCGATGTTTGAAGTAGGCTCATAATTTGGTGAGGCTTGGAAAACCTGTGTGAAGATGAAGCATATCTGATCATTTCAAGTTCCATTCTGTTAATAGCTTTGTTACTCCTTGATCTATAATATAAAGACAGAAAACATATGAATAAATCACACATGCGCAAAAAAATTTGCGGAACGAGCGCGGGAAACATGTGTCCCGCGTTGTCCAACGTGGCCAGCGAAACACGGGACATATATGTCCCGCGCTGTCGTCAACGTGTTAATGGGTTGAGGGAACCATCAATGAGTTATACGAATATCCATCATGCGTCTTCGGAATACGAATCGAATGCGTTTCTATTTGAGTAAAAAAAACATTCTGGAGGAAGGGGGACCCATACTTCCTGTGTGCAAACACTAGAATGCTTTCTTGGTTAGATTTGCTGTGTAAAATGTGAAAGAATTTACGATAAGAATGGTTTCTGAGATTTCTCCATAGGATGAATTCAAGGTCATGGTGATCTCGGCCACCCCCTATTTTCCCCACTTTTAAGGAGCCATGTTTTTCTCGAGATAGGCGATTTCGCTCGCTTTCATCGCTACCGATGAACTATTCCCAACCTATGATTTCACTTTTTGTATAAAAACGGGTACCTCAAAATTATCGTGTACTGTGCCTTTAATTGTATAGTGCAGTTGGACTATCAGCATTATCAGCATGTGATGCATCACTGTCAGCATACGAGTGAATAAAAAGCGAAAAAAGTAAAAACTACTTGCTTTAAACTCCTTACTCTTAGTTCGAAACCCTTCGTAACTCCATATATAAACATGCAGCAGATCACTTTTATTATAAGTACCCTTATATAGTAAACTCGCATAAACTGCAGGTTGATGAAGTGACTGAAAATGGTACCGTATTGACATCGAAACGAAAGCGTGGTGGCAAAGACAAGCCAGTCGCGAAAGAGGAAAAATCGTGGTTAGAATTTCTTCTATCATATTCATCTTAGAACTGCTTTTTTTGAAATTCATCGTTCAGTTCTGGGAGAAACGTTGGTTCTAAGTTTGATAGCAAATGTATTTTTGGTTTTTTTAATGAGCTTCACAAGCATTGAGAATGAGCGCCTCTGTCTTCCTAGAATGCAGAAATTCATTTAGTCCACCTGCAGAGCCCGACGACGACGCCGAAGCAGCATTTATGGCCTTAATGGCGGAGAAAGATCCCATATTGGGAAAAGCACGGGCAGAAGTTTCAGCTGGTCCTTCCGTATCTACTAAGTATGTTTTAGTTGTGTAGTTTTTTTAAAGTTTTCTAATGTACTTTTCTTTTTTGATATCTTGCCAGTTGTTTTTATGATTAGGAGGAGAATTCTTTTTCTTTAAAAGTAGAAGGAAACTCGAACCATCACAATACAGTTTTTTCATGAATAAAACCATCATTGTGCGAATATGAATATATCAAAAGGTTATTTACTTTGTAAATTGTGTTCAATATCTAATGGCAATCTGCAGCCCAGCTATTTACTCCTGCCATTAATTTTTACCATATTACTTTTTTTACCCTACTGTCAACTTTCAAATCGTCCTCTGTTACATAGTACATCAGCCTAATCTGGGTCAGTGATCATATTTTTATTTGTAGGCCGTGTGCATCATTGGAGACAGTGGCCTCCACTTCGTCTTCTTCGGTGCAATCGACACCATCGGAGTCACAATCAAAAGATACAGCAGTCATTACCCAAGTTTTTGACTTTGCAGGAGATGAAGTGAAGTAGGTTGATGGTTCACAATTTGAACCGTATGTGGTTCATATGCAGGAGGGTTTGCTTACGGTATGGGAACCCTGCATCGAAATGTTATTGATGCTCATTAGCCCGTGGTAGTAAGCTAATCTTGGGAAGTCACAGACCGAGATCAAACCGGATACGAGAGAACATAACATAATATTAATGAACGGACTAAGGGTGAGATGGAAATGGCCTACTCGCATGCGCGGAAGTATTTCTTGAGGCCCGAAAGTGTGCAGTCATACTCTATGCACCCCGCGTGTACAACGCGGGTTGTATCAGAGTAAACAACTTTTACGAGAATTCACGAATGTTACTGATGTGGCTGTACAGCTGGGTAGACTGGTATTTGTCAAGGCCCGTTAGAAAGCGGAACTGTGGCGCGATTCGTGTCCTTCAAGTGAGGTGGAGTTTGTCTAAAAAGTTCAAAACTGCCTGAGAATGCGCTCAGCTTTAACCATGTTATAGCACGCTTTTTAGATATTTCCGTTTAAAAACTGTAATCATTTCAGAGTGCAACGAGTAGTTTCTGCAGAAGAAGCTAAAGAGATTGAAGCTAAAGAAAAGCGTAAAGAGAACGAGAAATCAAAGAAGCCGACTCAAAAGTGAGTTTCGTGTTGAGTACTCGTGAGAAATCCAATAAAACATTCCTTATTGTATAATATTGTTTTCTAATTATTCAGGCGGCTTGGCATTGGAGCAGCATTAACGCTGTTAGCCAAAAAACCAAAAATGTCTGTTTTGGACAAATCAGATCTTGACTGGAATCTTTTCAAAACCGAAAAGAATCTCAAGGTATGAATTTACGGATATATTCTAAGTGTTCCTTTTCATACAGCACGAAACAATATTTCTTTGCACTTTTTTGGGGTTTTTGGACGATTTTATGATATAACCTACTATTAATGGCCTGGTAAAAAAGGATAGCCTTATTAGTAGGGTCATTTCGTGCAACGTGAGATGAAATGTTGGGAACATTAAGCGTTCGGTAGTGAGGATCATCGTCGAATATTGCGGTGCGATCCAACACTTTTGCAACTTTTCCACCACTGGTTTTGGAAGAGGGAAAACTGCCTCTTTCGAGTTTCGTTTGCCACTACAAAATCCAGGTACAAAATCCAGGCTCTCATGTATACCTGTGACTCGAGGCGTCTTTCCTGATTGAAAGTTGACGTATCATTTTAGGAAATGTTACGTACATTGAAGAGGTTTTTCAAAATCAGAGGTGTAATCCTGCTATTCATCCTAGCAGCCCTGGCCTGCTCCCTTCATACACTTACACCCCTTGAGTTATTTATCATCGTTTCAAAAGCTGCACTAAGATCCTCTTGTACAATATTTTTCCCATACAAATTATTAGCACTCTGAGAAATCTGACCTAGGACTTTTCAATAATTCTGGAACCTTTCAGTTCTCTACCAACTTTATTGTTTCAGGAGGAGTTGGAAACGTTCAACCGCGGCAAAAATGGTTATTTGGATAAGATGGAATTTTTAACAAGAACTGATTACAAGGAGTTTGAGAAAGAGAAAGCACTTCGAAATGCCACACGTAAACCTATTTGATTGGTGGTGTCATGCCCAACTCGGTAGCTGATACAATGGAAGCTCTTTCTTTATTATTGATGAGCTGCTCACCTTGTTTTGGAGCTTTTTGGAAATAGTTTTGAGGCAAGCCTTGTCATTTTGAGTTGTTAGCATGTTACAGGTTTTCTGATTCCTGTGTTACACTACTTTTAAAGCATGAGCCATATTGGCTTTCTTTTGTAAAAGTGATTTTATTTGTTGTTTTTGGAATTGTTGTTTTTCTTCTCCATTTCCTTCCATAAATTTTTATTCGCATTTGTCTAATGTTCAATTGATTTTGTGAACAAGGGTGGTAGAAATCCACATCGAAGACGACTTCGTGAAAGTCTCATATATTTACTTCGAGTTGAGTGAACGCTTTAGCTCATTTGGAATTTCCAAGATTCGACAGTCTTTATGTGCAGTTTCCGCGGTTTTGAGGGGATTGTATTAGGTTACTATCGTACAACACAAGTCAGGCATCTTAAGATTGTTATTGTAAAGTATATTGATTGTAAAGGGGTGTTATAGCGTCTTTATTTGCCCTTTTGAATGCCGCAGCAGTAGATGGGTTCTTGCTGATTGTACTCTGCATAACTTGTTAAACTACTTTACAAAGAGATGGGTAGTAGAAAATGGTGGGCGTCCCTGTTGTGTTTGCTCAACGTTTTGTGGATTAGATCAATAGCTGCTATGACTAAACGGCCTTCACAAAGGCTTTCGGCGTTTTCGTATTCTTCACCTTTGTGAATAAGCTGCAAGTATTACAATCTTGTGCGTTCTGATCTGATTATCTTTCGTCAACCTTTGGGTTGCTTTTAGATTTTTACCTCAGACAGCGCGTAGACTTCGTTTATCCTGCTTGTATTTTTCATTTTCAAAAAGTCGTTTTTCTCATTTTGTCATGGGGAAGTATTAGGAGGCTCACATTCACACTTTGTTTCAGAGCATTATCTATTCGTTGGATGGTTGTAGTCAAAACTCGTACCTTAGAACCTGAAAGCGATCTACAGAAGAGAACAGGGCAGAGGAAAGACTGAGATCAGGGATCTTGGAACTGACATTTTTACGAAGGTGGGTAGTTGAACCCATGGCCCGATCTAAAACTTATTAGATCCAGTTTTATAACTTTTACCGTCTTCGTAGCTGTTCTGGTAAAAGATACGCGACTGTTTACCGTTTACGGGATTATTTTCCTTAGAGACAAAGGAAGCAGCACTTGATTTATGTTTGTGGAGTCTGCAGCAGTGTAAGAGTCTCAACAGCGGCAGATCCACAAGAATTCAAAGATCCTTTTTTTGTTGCCTACATGCGCGCTGCTATTCGCTAGTGAAAAGCTCTCGAACTGAGGTGGGTGCTGTGATGCCGTCCATGAGCTTGCTTTTGCTTGCATGTTGATTTTCTGTTGCGAAATCCGTCGCTTTCCGTTTACTCAGCGATACATTCTATCATGATATTAGTCACATTTCGTTGCATACTTCCAAAGCTGTAGAGGTCACCATTTCAAACTCATTTCATATCGATTTGTGATATTTTCTGCGTTTCACGGTCTTCAGAGCTGTTCTTAGATATCTTGTTCTAGAAAATTGGCGCTGAATAACATCTAAGAGAGCCATGTCATCGTCGCCGTTGCTACGTCGCCGCCACAGCTCAGGCTCATCCAACGGCGATCGCGGTCATGGGCTATCTGCTGCTATTAATGGAGAAGGACTGCGAAAGGATCGCCGCGGTAGCGATGATGACCGTAAGTGCTTATACGAATTCATTTATCATTTAAATGCTTTGAAAATAAAGACGGTTGGTGATGGCGGATCGATTCCTATATTTGATTTGGATAGAATTTTGCACATATGATTGAGAATGTATTAGATTGTTAGGAAAGAAAGCGCGTTTAAGCTTAAAAAGTTTTTTATTATAAAAACGATACTAAACAAGATCAATTCAAACGGTAATTTCATTACTATCAATGACTTGTTGCTAACGTTTACGCGAAGAATGGATTCTCCTTCTGAAGAACTCGGCCGGCTGCGACTCGAAGTAGTTGAACACCCAGAGTTGGACTTCTTCGCGGTTTTTGAACCTTTTCTCGGCCAGGGAGTACTGCATCGCCCGGAACAGATGGTAGTCGGATGGTGCCAGGTCTGGGCTGTATGGGCGTAGGACTGAGGTAGGACTTCCCAGCCCCTGTTCCTCAAATTTTCCCAAAAGGATTTTCGCTCCATACTCGCGACGCGACGTTGTGATACCCATTTTCCGCACCTGTTCGTCTTGCCAATAGCCAGCATATGTTCATGGATGGTAGAGTTTGAGCAGCCAAAATGTTTTGCCAGTTCTCGAGTGGTTTTGCATGGATCCAATTCAACGACGGACTTTTACACTTGGTTATCGACGACTTGAGGCTGTCTTCCATGTTCTTCGTCCTCTAACTTTTCATTACCGTTTTCGAAACGCTGGAACCATCGTCGACATGGCTTTCCGACAGGGCTTCTTCGCCAAATACCTCAGAAGATGAGTTTTAGCAGTCAATTTGCCTTGCCTGATGCCTGAAGTCGTACCACATGCAAGCTGACAAAAGGAAGTTTTGGTCAAGCATTTTCTAAATATTTTCCTTCCAGGAAAACAAAGTAGACATAAACAAAGACATATCAAAAGATGCGCAATAAAAATCTCTTTCTAATGGTCGAAACTGTTTTGAAAAAGTCATGTATAGTAGGAGAGAAATAGATGGACAAATTCAACGCGCATTCCTTTCCGAACAACCTAATATATGGAAGTCTTGCAAGCTAAAAATTGTAAGCTGTACTTTCTAGTCAGTACAATTTTTGTAAACGGTTAACCATAGCCGTTGCGTGCTTCTCGACAATCGACGGTGTCGTATGCATCGTCAGCGAAATGCCAGTAATAGTTAACATACGTTGTTCAGGTGTCGTTATGAATTGTTGAGACGAATTTCGATATGTGTAAACAGCTGTTTCCGGAGACATTTATGTTTTCAGCTTCAGAAAAGTCTATCATTCAATATAAAAATCTTTCTATGGGAGCCAAATCATCAAGAAATTCCTTTCGTGGCCGCTGGCTTTGAACAGATTCCCTAGGAATAATTGCCTTTGTGCTTATTTTCACCCTTGTGAAATGTGAAAATCTGGAATGAAAATATTGGAAAACGTTCGATCATTCGGATTTTTACAGGATTTTCACGTGGTGCCCGTCATATGTTCCGAGTTTTGGCTAAACGAGATCCAAGATTGACAACTGGAGAAGGATTACGAAGATTATTTGATGAGATCGATGAAGGGGGTGCCAAAACCCAAGAAGGTACGAAACAGTAGCATCAGTTGCTTTGTATCGCCACTCTTTTTCACTTGTTTTATTACTCTTGGTTTCAAAAAAATGACTTTTTGGTTGCTTGTTAATTATCATGTGGTTGTCTCAGAGCTCCTGGAACGATTGTTTCACACAGCCGAAGTCGAAGAGCACATCGATAGGGCTACTGGTGTTACGGTATGGTTTCTTATGAGGGTAGATCTTTTTTGGACGTCATTTGAACTACAGCTTTGAAAAGGAGCACCAGCTGTTTAGTCAGAAGATGAGGACGAGTTCGTTGAGCATATGCGAAATACTGTGGAAAGTGGTGACATGGATGATTTGTCAAATACTGATGTTAAACGTCGTGCGCCCAGATCAGTACGTCACTTGAGTTTTGCCAGTTCTCATACTTTGCCGATATAGAGCGATCCAGCCGGATAATTTCAGAGCCTCAGCAAACTCGACAACTTTGTGGAATACCTTTTACAAAAGATAAATCAACAATGGCTCACTTTAATATATGCTGTTTTCCCATTCCATCAAGTTCAAACACTTGTTTTTGTATGCTTGGTGCAGTTTGTGAGGTGAGTGACGCAGTTATTACAGCTATGAGTGGGCATCTTGTGATTATTAGACTTCCAAAGAATCTGTTTATTGGTTGTTTACTATTTGTTTCAGCTTGCCATCGTTGTTCTTGATGCTGCCCGTGCTCATGGCGTACATCTCATTCGTCTTAATGGTTTACTTCACATTGAAAATGTTCCACAACAAGAGGTGAATCTGGTAACTTTTTGTATCTATTGACAAGAAGGGAGAAAAAATATTGATTTCAGCATACAACGAAA